TTTTTTTTTTTTTTTTTTTTTTTTTTTTTTGTACCGGGGATCAAACTTGGCCCCTTGCACTTGCAAAGAAGGTGCTGGAACCATTGAACTAAATCCCCACCCCCTCCCATATCTTTTTGTTCTTGTTGAGACAGGGTCTTGCTATACAGTTCAGGCTGGCCTTGAACTCACTACGTGGCCCACGCTGGCCTCAAACTGTGGCAATCCTCCTGCCTCAGCCTCCTGAGTGCTAGGATTACAGGCTTGCACCGCCATGCCTGGCTCTCTTTTGCCTAAAGCCAGCCACCTTCCTAAGAACTGTGCATCCTTGTAATGAAAAACAGTATTTAAAATCGAAGATCTAGGTGATAGGTGTGCTTGAAGCTATGGGAAATCCCTTCTTCTAGGTCTTCTTGCCTGACAAAGCAAGGAAATATATTTGTCTGTTAACACCTGCATAAACACACATTGATAAATATTTCTGTATGTAGCCACTCTATCTGTTATTAACTCAAATATGAATTTATCCTGATGCCTCCATCTTTAATCCATTACCACAGTGATCATTCTAGCTCTCACTCCTTGCTTGTCCGATGTTTGTCTGTCTCTGTATGCGTGCGTCTGTGTGCCTGTCTCTCTCTCTCTCCCTCCAACCCCACTGTTGGGAATTGAACCTGGGGCCTCATGTGCTTTACCACTGAACTACATTCTCAGTCCCTCAATCTCTTAACAATGACCTTGGGGATTAAATTTTTTTGTGGGGGGTACAGGATCGAACTCGGGACCTTGCCCTTGTAAGGCAGGCAGCAGCACCACTAAGCTAAATCCCTGGCCCACTGGAGGTTAAATTTTGATGAAGTCTGACTTATCAATTATCAATGTTTTTATTTTATAGGGTGCTTTTGGTGTTATATAAGAATTTTTGCCTAACTCAAGTAAAGATTTACACTTACTAGAAGTTTTAGAGTTTATATTTTGGTTTAAGACTCATTTTTAGTTAATTTTTTTTTTTTTTAAATTTTGGTATGGGAGATCGAACTCAGGTCTTTGCGCTTGTGAGGCAGGCAGTGAAACCACTGAGCAAATCCCCGGCCCATTTTTAGTTAATTTTTGAATATAGTATAAAGGCTGATTTTTTTTTAACAGTTGCAAAGTTTTATTAGAGGTAGGAAAAGAGGCTCTGCAGAGAAAGTTTGGGCCAAGTAGAAGTAGAAAAAGAAGTACACTCTACAGTGTAAGGGTGGACCACATGCGAGAACGGAGTGGACTATCTTTGTTTTGTGACAGGGTTTCTCTATGTAGTTCAGGCTGGCCAGGAATTCACTATGTAGATGACCTCAAACTCAAGGCAATCCTCCTGCCTCAGCCTCCAGAGTGCTGGTATTATAGGTATGCCACCAGGCCCGGCCTTAAAATTTATCTTTTTTTGCATTTGGATATCAAGCTGTCCCGGCACCATTCTGGAAGACTGCCCTTTCTCTGCATAACTGCCCATGCCCTTCTCTTGAAAACTGACCCATACTCTTGTGGGTCTATTTCTGGGATCTCTGTTTTGCTCCACAGATCAGTGTCTACCTTTACACCAATATTATACTCTCTTGATTGCTCTAACTGTTCTTTCTTTCTTCTTTCATTTATTTATTTATTTATTTATTTATTTATTTATTTATTTATTTATTGGTAATAGGGATTAAACTTGGGTCCTTGCACTTGTGAAGCAGGCAGTGGAACCACTGAGCTAAATCACCAGCCCAGCTCTGCTCTTTCTTAAAAAAAAGGAGTTTTGGCTATTTTCGGTCCTTTATGTTTCCTATGAATTTTAGAATCAGCCTGTCACTTTCCAAAAATTGAAAAAAAAAAAGCAAAGCATTAAGATTTTGATTATGATTGAATTTATAAACCAATTTAGGAGAAAATGACTTTTTTTTTTTTTTTTGAGACAGGGTCTAGCTATGTAGTTCATGTTGGCCTTGAACTCACTGTGTAGCTCTGGCTGGGTGCTGGAATTACAAATACAAGCCACTACACCCAGCAAAATGGCATCTTTTTTTTTTTTTTTTTTTTTTGGTACCGGGGATCAAACTCGGGTCCTTGTACATGCAAAGCAGGTGGCAGTACCACTGAGCTAAATCCCTGGCCCAAAATGGCATCTTAAAAATATTGAATTTCTTATTCATAAACATGGTATGCCTCTTCATTTACTTAGGCCTTCTTTATATTCAGCAACATTTTATAGTTTTTAGTACAGGGTCTTACATATCCTTTTGGCAGAGAGACAGCAAGAGATAGAATATGAATGTGTATTTGTGGTACTGGGGATCCATCCTAGAGACAGTCTACCACTAAGCTATATAAAAGCTTTTGTTTGGTTTGGTTTTTATGAGACAGGGTCTTGCTAAGTTGCCCAGGTTGACCTTGAACTTGTAATGTCCCTGCCTCAGCCTTCCAAATAGCTGGGAGAAGTGTGTACCACCAAGCCCAACAGTATTCAGTCTTCTACCACTAAGTATGATATCAACATATATGTAAGTGTTTTAACTGTGGTAAAATACAGTTAGGCATTTAATCATTTTAGAAGTACAATTCAATGGCATTAACCACTTTATAATATTGTGTGCAAATGCCACCATCTACAAAACCATTTCATCTTCCCAAACTAAAATTCTGTACTCATTGAGCAATAATTCTCTATTCTCACCTCCTCTGAGCCTCCGTTCTGACTCTACAAATTTGCCTGTTCTAGATAGTTCATATAAGTGGAATCATGCAGTGTTTGTCCTTTTCTGTCTACATAATGTTTTCATGGTTCATCCATGTTGTAGTCTGTGTCAGAACTTCATTTAAAAAAAATTTTTTTTTTTTTGAGACAGGGTCTCACTGTGTAGTTGAGACTGACCTGGAACTCACTATGTAACCCAGGCTGGTCTCAAACTCACAGTGATCCTCCTGCCTCAGCCTCCCGTGTGCAGGGATTACAGGCATGTGCCACCATGCCCGGCAGAACTTCCTTTTTTTATGGTGAATAACAGCCCATTGTATGGACCCATCATGTTTTGTTTATCCATTCATTTGCTGATGGGCATTTGGATTATTTTTGCCTTTTTGCATCATATAATTTTGTTATTGTTTTTTTTTTTTTTTTGGTACTGGGGATTGAACTCGGGTACTTGTACTTGCAAGGCAGGCCACCAAACTGCTGAGCTAAATCCCCAGCCCAACTTTAATTAATTAATTTATTTATTGGTACTGGGGCTCAAACTCAGGTCCTTACGCTTGCAAGGCGGGTGGCAGAACCACTGAGCCAAATCCCTGGCCCTGCATCATATAATTTTGTTTCAGTGTTTTATTTTATTTATTTTTGTGGTACTGGGGACTGAACTCAGGACCTTGTGCTTGCAAGGCAGGTGCAGTGCCACTGAGCTAAATCCCTGGCCTATTTTCACCTGTTCAATATTACAAATGCTGCTTCTATGAAAATGGCATGTAAGTATCTGTTTGAAGATAGTATACAAGTATCTGTTTGAAATCTGCTTTCCAGTCTTTTTGTGTATTGCAGGTTTTATTGTTTGTTTCTTGCAGTAATGGGGATTACTGAGACAGGGTCTTGATAAGTTGACCAGGTTGGCCTCAAATTTGTGATTTTTGTGTGTGCTTCAGCCTCCTGCTTAGCTGAGATCGCAGGTATAAGTCACGCTGCCCAGCTTGCTTTGTTTCTGACTTTGGACAAATCCTTTTGTTTCAGCTCCCAAGGCCTTCCTTTGCCCAGTTAGAGGATGCTGGCTCTATTTACTCCTGAGCTTTTAAGGGTTTGCTGCCTGCTTCTCAGCTTTCTTACTGTCTGCTGTATCTACCTTTCCTCACCTGCCAAGTCAACTTCCTGCCACTTACCCATGTGTTCTCCAGCTTTCCAAACAGTTGTTTTTCCTTTTCCATTTGCTTCATCTTTGTGGCTGTTTATTTTCTTTTTGAGGTACTGGGGATTAAACCCAGAGCCTTCACACCGAGCCACATCCCCAGATCTTTTTATTTTGAGACAAATTGTCCTTAAGTCACTATGTTGCCCAGGTTGAGTTGGAACTTGCCATCTTTCTGCCTCAGCCTCCTGGAATGCTGGGATTACAGGTATGTGCTACTGTGTCCAGCTTTTTTTTTAACCATTTTTAAGTGTACAGTTCAGTAACATTAAATATATTCACATTATTGTGCAACTCTCACCACTATCTCCAGAAGTTTTTCACTTTCCCAAGTTGAAGCTCTGTTCCCATTAAACATTAACTCCTAGGGCTGGGGATTAGCTCAGTGGCATCGTGCCTCCCTCGAAAGTGCAAGGTCCTGAGTTTGATCCCTGGTACTGGGGAAAAAAAAAAAACTCATTCCTTTAGCCCCATTCCACAGTTCTTGGCACCACCATTCCACCCTTGTTTCCATGACCTGACAACTAAGGATGCCATGGAAGTAGAATCACAGTCTTTATTCTTCTGGAACTGGCTTCTTCCATTTGGCATGATGTCCTCAAGATCCATCCATGTTGGTAGCATGTACAGCAAAATTTCCTTTCTTCTAAAGGGTTTATAAAAATCCACTGCTTCATAATAATCCACTTCTGGGGCCGGGGATTTAGCTCATCGGTTCCACCACCTGCCTTGCAAATGCAAGGACGTGAGTTCGATCCCCAGTACCAAAAAATAAAAATAAAGTAAAAATAATAATCCACTTCTGTATATGCCACATTTTGTTTATCCAGTCATATGTCAGTGGACACTGGGTTGTTTCTTCCTTGCAGCTACATATATTGCCTTGAACATGGGTGTACAAGTATCTGTTGGGGTCCTTATTTCAATTCTTTTGGGAATAGACCCAAAAGTGGAACTACTGATCACAGGGTAATTCTATTTTTGACTATTTGAGGGACTGCTATACTGTTTTCCCTGTGTGTGTGCATGTGCATGTGTGTGTCTGTGCAAGGTGGAGTCAAAACAAACGCAGTGCTCAAAGTGTCATTTTTGACTGGGAGCTGGGAAGTCTCGCTGAGAGTATAAGAGACTGGGCATCAGCGAGGCCCATCAGGGCTCCACCTTACACACGACTCATGTAGAAGTGCTCCTTCCTGCAACCTCCGGTGTCCAGTGCCAAGCATCCCTCAAGGTCTGAGACAATCTGCTTGAGGGGGACTACTAGGAGATAATTGGTCGTATCAGCCACTAGATGCCAGCATGTAAGACCCAGGCTAAGCTAGTGTCACCTCATAGTATTTCCTTTCTGGGATGGTGACCATACAGTGGAGGTCATGCACACATGTCGGTGGACCAATCAGTCAAAGGCTCATGAGGCGGCAGCAGGCAATTTACAGTGATGTACCAAGCAGAGGAGCCAGGCTTAGCTCTGCCCTTCACCACATGTTCTTGGAGAGATGCTGTCCCTCTCAGATGCAATTTTCTTTATGTAAAGGGCTGTATGGCTCACCAGTTGTCCTCTAGAGAACAGACTACATCTTTCAGGGCTGGCCAGGTTTGTCTTCCTGACCAGCATCACGTTCTGGACAGGGCTACTTGCATGTGAAAGGCAGCACTGGCCAAAGACAGTAAACTGCTGGAGGGAGCCTTGGGCCTGTTGAAGAAAGGACGGCCACTTTGTGTGTGTGTGTGCATCTCTCCTCTGGGCCTAAAACCAAGCAGAGCCTCAGAGAGGCAAAACTAGGATTAGATCCTGGGACTGGGGATGGGATTCTGACTGGATGCAGGGTACTTTCTCGTGGGACCACATAGAACTCCAGCTCCTGCTATATATAGGCCATGACATTCTGAGACCTCATAGGCTTCTAATGGGGGCCTTAAACTTATGGCTCCCAGGCTGATCCCACTTCTCTTCTAGGAGCGAGCCAGAACCCTGTGGAGATGAGATGTCCAGAAATACAGACCTCTGTGTCCCTGCATAGGGTATGGGGCAAAACTCCTCCAAGAACCCAGACGGTGGAACAATCCAGCCACACACTTGCTGGTCAGTGTGACCCATACACTGTCACATAACTTCACTGTTCATATTTTTACTCAGCACATTTTTGGGTGCCTACTGTGGGCTATGTGCTCTGTGAGCAGCGAAGACATATTCCATAGCCTCTAGCTCAAGGTACATTCAAAGACTCTTTGGAAGCCAAGAAGGTACCCCACCCCTGAAACCAACTGGGATGTGGCCCTCAGGACTCCACCTGCTCCTGAAGACCAGGTACTGGGTCCTCTGTCCTCAGTATAGGCTCTGCATTTTCTAGGATCTGTGCTGAAAACTACATTGCACAGATTCTGAAATTTCCCAGGTGGCTGAGGTACTGGACCTCAGTACCTAGTACCCTGTCCTTAGGAACCTGCCAGTGCCCTGCAACCTCCACTTTGTCTCTACACACACTGGTCCCACACCTGAACCATAGAAAGGCCTTGATGGCTCTGGCCAGGTTGTTTCTGTAGAGGCAAAGTTGCAACAGCCAGGTCTAGCCTCCCATGCCCTGTGGTGTGTATGAGCCAACGGATGTGTGTGCTACATGAGCGTGGCTGTGCCGTCAATGCTTATGGCTGTGGGGTAGAGGATGTGGCCTTGGTCTGTGGCCACTCTGCCCAGCTCAGGATGTAGGCTGGCCACTGGGTGCTGCCTGGCTGAGAGGCTCAGGCCACACAGGCCAGCTTATCACCCCTACAGCCTTGGACATGGCCCCAAGTGGCCATCACCAGGTGGTGATCTGTGCTGGCCCATCTTTCAACCCAAGGCAGCTTGCTCTGGCTCAGAGGCTGGCTGGTCTCCTTATATGAGAAGCCCATGGTTGGGCTTTGGCCCCATATAGTGGTAACCATGCTTCTCGCTGTTCAAGCCTTTGGGCAGGACCCCACTAAGAACCGAGGGCCTGAGTATTATGTGGCAGTTGACCCCAGGCTGTGGGATGACAGTCAAATACAGCAAGTGCACAGAACCTGACCACTCCTGTCCTTGTCGAGGAGGACAACCAACCACAGTGGGCCTGGAGCAGAGTGGATACCACCAGCAGAGACACAAGGCCACGTGCCCTAGTTTCTGCCAGAAAAAACTTGGCCTTGGGGTCCAGGTGAGGCTCCCTGGGGCAGGGATCTAGGAGATATGTGTGTCTGCTTGAAGGGGCATTCAAGTATGGGGCTGGGCCAATGAGCCTGTTGGAGAATGGGCCTCGCCCCCACCTCAGAGCCTTACCTTTGGTGTCATTGACGGGGTCCATGTGCCTGTAGATGTAGCCCTCCAGGTAGGAATGGAACTTGGGTGTGGGTGGGAAGAAGGCCAGACAGATGGCCATAAGCTCCCAACCACGGGCCAGGCTCTCAAGGCGGAAGTTCTCAGTAGTTTGGCGACACAGCTGGATGTAGAGCTCATCCCGCAGGCCCTGCATGCTCCAGCCCTTGGTGGCAATCTCCAGAGCCACATGCAGGGGGTCAGCCTTGGCCCGCCGGTCACCCATGTACATCTGAATCAGCTTGAAGATCTCACAGGCCTCCTTCTTCACATGCCGGTCGCTCGTCACAATCATGGGCTTCTTGATGGACTCACTGCTCCAGGCCAGCATGTTTGCGATGGATACCTTCCGTCGGAAGAGGCCCTGGGTGTGCTTGTTGAAATGCTTGGAGGCCCAGTTTTCAATGTCTGTTTCTGAGGACGGCTTGCGGAGAGTGAAGGTGGGGAAGACACAGCTGGAGCTGGGCACTGCGTTGCGATTCTGCCGGCTGCTCTCAAACTGGGCACAGGCACCGAGGTCCTCAGACTGGGAAGGACAAACCGGACTGTGCCATCAGGGTGCAAGTGCCCAGCCTCACTCCCCACATTGTGGCCAAATGATAGCCACAGTTAGGGACCCAGTAGCCCAGGTGAAGGTAGGGAAGACAGGGTAACCCTGTGGGGGTGTCTGGCTTGTTTTGCTTTTTTTTGGTACCAGGAATTGAACTCAGGACCTTGCGCTCACAAGGTAGGCTCGGTGCCACTGAGCTAAATCCCTGGACCTCTGCTGTCTTTCTAACAAAGTACTAACACCCAGCTTCCATATCAGGGCCTCCCTGCCATGCCCATCCCTGCATAACCCAGTACTGGCCCTAGTGCCTGCCTTCTCCACTGCTCTCAGATATTCCCATGGACCCTGCTCCCGAGAGGGGTGGCTTTTTTACTGTTCATTCTGTTTCCACAGCTGTGGGTAACCCTGTGCGGGTGTGTGGCTTGTTTTGCTTTTTTTGGTACTAGGGATTGAACTCAGGACCTTGAGCTCACAAGGCAGGCTCGGTGCCACTGAGCTAAATCCCTGACCTTCTGCTGTCTTTTTAAAGAAGTGCTACCCTATCCTCCCACATTTAGCAGCAGGGGGCTAAAACCCTGACCAGGGGCAGCTCTGAGTGTTCCAGCCTGGAAAATCTCTATGGCTACTCAGAAGGCCAGGATGCTGTCGTCCAGGTGTCACTTGCCATGCCACTTCCAGAAAGCCTTTGGCTCTCTCTGCCCCTGCAGTCCCTGGGACCACCGGGCAGACATCAGGCCACCCTCAGTGGTGACTCTGACGCTGCTGTGAATGCATAAGGGGCTAGGAAGTGACAACTAGGGTCATGGGCACCTGAATCCTGGAGGCCTGGTGGTCTCCAGTAGGGAAGACCTGATGATATTGATATTCAGACACTGAGCAGTTGGACAGAGGTACAGGTGGGGCCTGTACTCCTGGCACTGCATGGAGGACATGTCAGGCTGGACCTGGGCTTTGGCTCTAGCAGTGCTTGTAACAGGGGAAACCAAATGGCTACTGCCTCCTAGCAGATCTTCCTGTACAAAGTGGGTTTGTGGGGAGCAGCTCTGGTGAGCCACCACAGTGCCTGATGCCTGCCTGCTGGGTCCTCAGGACACAGCTTTAGCTTCCAGATGGTCCATGGTCAAGGAAGCCCTGTGAGGCTGCACCCTCACTGCCTGCGGTGTCTAAAACACTCTCATGTTGCAGATGCCAGACACGTGGGCTCTCTGCTGACCATTGGCTCTCAGGGGCCCTTTGCCCTGTCCACCCCATCATGCAGCCTCACCTGGGAGGGATGGAGGTAAGGCTCCGGGGAGGCCAGGTTAGTCTGCACAGAGACACTCTTCTCTAGCAGGACCTGGGGGAAGCCCAGCTTCTCAAAGGTGCTCCGCTTCCAGTGCTTGCTCTCCTGCTGGGCCAGTGCCTCATCCTCGCTGAAGGCACGCACCACAGGCCCTGGCATGGGCAGTGGCACAGCACCATCACTCTCGTAGCCTGAGCCATCCTGCTGGGAGTCCCAGCTGCCCCTCTGCTTCATGTGGAAGTGGGCCTGCTGTGCCTCCCAGGCCAGCCGTGCCTGCGCCAGGAAGGGCTCAGCTGCACCCCGTGCAACATCTGCCTCAGCCTCTGCACGCTTCACCTGGGCAAGGCTAGGCCCGCATGGGGAGCACTCCTCGGCCAGGGGCTGCTCGCCCAGCAGGTCCCCTGGGCCGTCAGTGGAGGAGGTATTGGGGGCCTGGCACAGAGAAGGCTTTCTGCTCTTCCGCTTGCGTGTGCCTGGGGAGTAGCCTGTGGAGGACATGGTGTCCTGCTGGCTGGACCAGGACATGGCATCCTCCTGGGCCTGTGGCAGTGGTGTGGGTGGCTGGCTGTGTCGTGGCTCAGGCCCCTCCATGGTGCTGTAGTCTCCTGACAGGACTCCCAGGCGCTGGTCCCTCAGTAGGCAGGGACTGGGCTGCAGGGAGTAGGAGCCACCTCCAGGGTTGGGTGCATATTTATGCCGGGGCCCGGAGCGCAGCTTGGGGCTGGAGCCTGCCTGCTCTACATACACTAGCTGGCGGACATATTCCTTGCCTGCAGGGCTGTACTCCAGGCTCAGGAAGCGCTCAGGGCACCTTTGCTTGGTGCGCACCAGCTGCTGGCAGGGTGAAGCAGGGGCCTGCTTGGTGGTGGCCAGAAATGGGCGAGGCTTTCGGCCTGGTGACCTCTGTGGGGAGCCAGCCTGGTAGGGGCCACTAACCTCAAACTGCATGTCCATGGGGGGCTCATCATAGATGGGAGCCTGGTACTCAATAGGTGGCTCCTCATAGAGTGGAGGCTCATAGCCATAGCGTGGGGAGGAGGGCTGTGAGTCACTGGAGGCCTTCCGAGTCTGTGCAAGTATTGGGGAGCAGCTCCCAGGGAGCTCAGCTCTCCTCAGGAAAGGTGAGGGCCGCCTCTCTGGGAAGAAGACAGCGCCATCTGCATCAGAGGTGAACGTCTGCAGGTTGGGTGAGTGCTGGCTGCCAGAGGGTCTGCGGGGGCGGCCCCCAGGCTGGCCTTCCAGTGTGTAGCCATTCCCCTGAGGGGCAAGGAAGCTGGGCTCTCGGTCAGGGACCTTGATGAGCATGCGCTCTTTGGTGCCAGAGTTCCATCGGAGGGAGGACGTCCTGTGTGAGGGAGCAGGTGGCAATTACTGGAGGATGTGAGCCCAGTCCCACTACTTAGTCTGGGGGTTCCCAGTGTTCTCCCTGGAACCACCTGTGCCCTTCCCCTAAGCCTAACCCAAAGTCCCCCAACTTTACAGCACAAGGCAGAGCTACTGATGTGCCTGTGAAGAGCACTGTGCCCAGGGCCCTTGGGGGGGCAACTGTTAAGAGCCCAGCTAGGTGAATGCAGCATGACACCATACCAGGCTTTTAGGCCCCATTTTTCAACAGGAGGCTCCTAGGAGTCTTCCCCTACACTTACACCAAGAAATAGAACAAAATTTTTTCCACCCATTCACTAAGGTACACTTAGGCCCCCTGGGAATGACAATGTCCAAATTGCTTACCTAGTGGCGGGTCACACTGGACACTTGGCCTTTTCTAAGCCTCTTTTGCTCATGGACCACCCAGGTGGCACAGCCAGGCAAGTACATGGCCACTACACTCACCATACTTTGCTTGATATAACTGGGACCAGACCCAGGATGGTCCAGGGAGAGGTAGGGGCTGTCTGCTCTCTTCACCAGGCTACCTAGGTATGGCGCTCTATTTAGAATTTCTTCTGTGGATCAAAATCTATGATTTTTGGAAAATTCCTGGATATTCACTCACAATCACATTCACTATGCACGCTATAGTTTTTATGCTATGTTGTATATTTTCCATTCCTGACTTTATTTTATTTTGTACCAGGGATCAAACTCGGGTCCTTGAACTTGAGAGAGGTGCTGGAACCACTTAGCTGAATCTCTTGCCCTTCATTCATGACTTTAGAATATGTATGTACTTCTGTTCTATCTTTCCATTTACTGATTCTCTACTTGGCTTTGTTTAATCTAATTTTAAGCCCCTTTAGGCTGCTATAACAAAATAACATAGACTAAGTGGCTTAGAAACAACAATTTTCCACAGCACTGGAGGCTGGAAGTCTTGCAAGCGCAAGGACCCGAGTTCAATCGCCCGTACAAAAAAACCAAACAAACAAACAAACAAAAAAAAACTTAAAGTAATCCGCCTGCCTCATCCTCTCAAGTACAGACATGAACTACCATGCCCGGCTTGAAATTATGGTCCTTGTACATGAAAACTGTAAAAGGTAATTTGAGCTCTAGGTTTATTTTGTTTTTAGTAGGCCATCAGGAGGGAAGATCAGCTGAGTCCATAAGACAGATTGTCCTGGTGAGACTACTCATGGCTACCCTCAGGCTTTGGAGTCCAGAAGAAAGTGTGGCTGTTGAGATATTGGGATCCACCACTAGGGGAAAGATACACACAGGCTGAACTGTCTCTACCCCCACCGTGTGGTACATCTCTGATAGCTTTTGAGTGATTCTATCAATTTTGTTTGGCTTTCCCACTGTCCTGGGTAAGGGTTGATCAGAGTGCTGGAGAGGTCAGCTTTGATGTGTGCCTGATACTGGGTACAAACCCTGTTACCTGAAGGCAGGTGAGGTGGGCTGGCCCTGCTTGTGAGAGATGAGGATCAGGCAGGGTCAGAGCAGACCTTCATCTTGGGGTTTCTGCTCCTGGTTGCCAGAGGTGGGGACAAGTTTCAGAAGAAGCAAGGACAGGAGAAAGGCCTGCTGGTTGAGAAAAATGCTCCATCCAAGGGACAGGAGCTAGTTCTGTCCAGTTAGGGCAGACATGGGAGAGGATGCTGCTGCTTAAAAATAAGTGAAGGGCTGGAGATTTAGCTCAGTGGTTCCGCTGCCTACCTTGTAAGTGCAAGGTCCGGAGTTGGATCCCCAGTACCAAACAAAACAAAACAAAAAAACAACTGAATGTTCTCAATAGTGCTGGAGGCTGAAAGTCCAAGGTGGATATTGTGGGCCTGGCATTTGCCAAGTAGGCGGCTCCTACCAGCTGATGGAGCATGACAGCACAGGTATGTCCAAAGCTGAGAACCTGCATGGAATCTTGAGCATCAGAGCAGGCCTGAGGCCTCTACAGAGACATAGTCACAGACTCCACATCACAATGGGGCCCCCCTTGGACATGCAAAGAGATGAAGCAGCAGCCCAGTGAGGACCACCCCACAGTGTCCAGCACATCTTCTGGCCTGAAGGTCCAGCCCCACCTACATTCAGGCAGTTCCAAGCCACCTCAGCCCTGCCACTGTGCCTCTGCAGTCCCTGGCCTCCTATCAGTCTCTAGGCCTTGCCAACTGGGCTTTTCACCCATGGCCCCTGGTACAGTACTCTTGGGATGTTCCCAACCTTCCCAGTTGGCTTGCAGCCTCTTCTACCCAGCTCCTCCCCATCTTCCCTTATCGGGTGAACTGTGGCCCCCTCCCTTCTCACACCCTCCGTACTTCTAACAACAACTCTAGAGTGTGCATGCACCAGGGTAGAGACCCCCATCTCTGCATAACATAGTATGAATAATAAAGATACAGAAGGCAGAGGAGCCACTGCCATAAAAAGCCAGGGCAGACCAAAGCTCCTTCTGCTCAGGGTCCCCAGACATTTATTCTTTCTATAGGTTACTTACTTCAGAGGAAGAACTGAGAGGATTACACAAAACCAAAGCTGGATATGCTTCCCTGCTGCCAGCTTCAGGGAAGTGGCTATACTGGGCATGGACACCAAGAAGGGGTGAGGGAGGGGACAGCAATGGTGGCTCCCTGACAGTCACCTAGGCCCAATGCCACCCCAAACACAGCTGCACTTACACAAACAAGAAATGGTACATCTAAAGATGGCACAACTACCCTGCCTTCAGCCAGCCTGTGGCTCTGTGTGGTACCTGCATGGGCTGTCATGGTCACCTGCCACCCTTCTCAGGCCTCTGGGTCATCTCACACTTGTCCAGTGAGGATTATGCTTGGCATACAAGGCTGCTGCCCTGAACAGGGCCCCAAGCACTGTCTGCAACGTTGGCTTCCCACTCTCTTGTAAGCAAGTTGAGTCCAATCCAAAGGCAGCTGCATGTGGCTTGGAGAATCATGTCCCAGAACCATGTCCCAGGGTGCACCCTGTTTCTGTCATTCTCTTGCAGCACACGGGTACAGGTTTCATGTCTCCATTCCTTCCCTGTGGACACAACCTACACCTTTACTTCCTGAACATTTCTCAGAGCGATGGTTCATCTCTGCTCAAGAGGTTTCTACCTAGGCAGCTCTAGGAGCTCTGCCCCTGGGATGTCCCTCTCCACAAGAAACCCAACACCAGTCGCAGTTGGTCACTAGGACCAACACCACCTAAGTGTAGGAGAAACAAGTGGCTAGGGAAGCACTGTCTCTCCACTCGCAGCCATTGTTTCTCAGGGCCACGATTAAGTAGTAAGTAGAGAATACCAGGTGGGGCACAGCTTCCCTTTGCCTGAGGACTCAGTCAGTTTTTTTTTTTTTTTTTTTCTTTCTATAATCTGTTTCTCAGAGACTTTGATTTCTTGCTACCCCGTGTAGCATCATGTAGGTCTATACCACTGGGCACAACCAAAGTGAGGAAGCAACAGGCCCCTGTGACAGTTAAGCTGAGTAGTCAATTTGACTGGCTTGGGAGACACTTAGCAGATGGGTAGAGCACACTCTGGGTAAATGTGGGTGGGTGCATTGGGCATGACTCTGGGGACTAGGCCTGGTCCCTGGCCCCTTCCCTCCTGTGCTTTTCCCTGAGTTCTGCTTCCCAGCTGCCATGAAGTGAGAAGCTTTGATTGACCATGCCTTTCCCCCATGATGTCTGCCTTGCAGCAGCCAGCCATGGCCTGAAACCTCTGAAACCATGAGCCAAATAAATCTCTCCTTTAAATTATGGATGTTGGGTATGTGTAATGGGAAGGCTAATACATCCCTTCCTGGCTGCAGTCCTGGCTGGCACCCCACTCTGCTACAGGTCACATCAGGTTATCACTGCACCTTGGGTTTTCAGTGGCCCTCTGCCTACATCCCCTAGGATAACAGACAAGGTTTCTCTCCAGGAGCCGTAAGATGGATGTGGAGGTCAAGCACTCTCCCAATAGGTCCACAGGGCATGCACAGGCCTGCTTTGGAGCATATTATCCTCTGAAAGTGTGTACTAGGTATACTTGGGAGCCTTGCAGAGGCTGCTAATCCTCAGCTGAAAGGGTCACGGAGTCTGAGGATGAGGTCTAACTACACCTGCCCACCTGCTCCACCCTCCCTGACAAAATACATGCCACTGAAACACAGAATACCACCAAGGCAAGCCCCTTGTTCCTGCACACTGCTGGCACCCCTCCTGTGGACCCCTCTTCTTCCAGATTTACTGGGAGCCCCTGTTCTAAGGTCTCAGTGACAGAAGCAACAATGGCAGAAGGGGGAGAAAGGGGTTCTGAGCTTCCTGGCATGGAGCAGCCCCCATCAGGTCACTACTAACTTCAGCCAGAGTGTTTTTGGGGTTGCAGGAATGGCACCCAGGGCTGGGCTGCCTCTGCCTCTGAAGTGGCCCAAAGGCCCAAAGGCCATGTATCTGCCCAGAGCATCCTGCCGTAAGCATGGTAGGGGCTGTTGGTTAAACTCCAAGTGCTGGGCGAGACTAGTCAGCAGATGATCAAAACAGGCATGTGTGTGGGAGGGTGGGATCTCCAAAAAGCAATGTCAGCATGGGACTTTAAATGCAGTGAGCTTCCAAGAAGGATGAAACATATGGTGGGAGGATTAGCCACAGAAAGTGGCAAGAGGGCTTCTGTAGAGACCAGACTTGTCAGATTGTGTGGCTTCATGAGGCTGAGGGCAGCTGAGCACCAAAAAGGCCTGGGGCAGGGTTTGTCACCAGTCACCCACTCCCATGACAACAGAAAGACAGAGGATCCTCTTCATCCCAGCTGAGACCTATAACTGTAAGGATTCCTGTTTCTCTGAAGGCTCTACAGGTGATAACAATGACAATGGGGGTGCTGCAAGTGAGCCAGGACCTTGATTTTGGGGAATAATGGCTCCCAAGCATGTCAGGATTTTGGCAGTACTCAGCCAATAAAGGCTAGGTGGGCATATCTATTACAAAGTATGAAGCTCCTTACAGAGCCCCAGGCCTGAGGGACTGGAGTGGAACTCTGCTTCATCACAGCAAGGTTGATCCTCCACCATACATGCATTCAGGGCACAATGACCACATGCCAGTGCCAGACCTGTCATTAAAGAGGAAGCAAGACCCAGGAGGCTACAGAAACTGCCACATCGTGGGCCAAGATGGGTGCAGACTCCCTTCTAAACCCGTGGTGTTCGACAAATGCAATCTTAGGGGAAAAAATCCAACTGTCTGAGGCCACAGCTCCTCAGGTCTTCCAGCCCCTCCCAGCACCAACACTGTCCCTCGGTGGTCTACCATGAGAATCATAGGCCTCCACAGGGATAACACCTAGCCCCATATTCCCCACAACAAGCCAATCACCAGGAAGAAGTCTGACCAGGTGAGTAGTGGGCCCACTGGGTCCTGAATGGCTTCTGGGACCCTCTAGTTCTCTACTACATGACCCAGGACCCAATGAACAAAGACCACCTTCAGTCCTAGGACTAGTACAATCTCTCAGTTGGGTCTGGTGATGGCTACGATGTTTGTTGCCAGCGCTGCCTGGGGCAGACCACTTGCTGAGGGCACCTGGGCCTCAACTTTCCCCAGGGCTGCCCTCAGGTGGGCAGGATCAAGTTCTACCTCTCAGTGGCCTCTGCCAGGCTGCAGGCATTGGTGATCTCCACGGCTCCTCCTGGTGTTCCCACTGCCTCCAGCTGATTCCTCTTCAGCTACCTCAGTACTGGCCCACCCAGAAGCCACCCTGAAACCAGCACCAGGCACACCAAACTGGCAGTTCTACCTGTAGTGAAGGAGCTGGCCATCCACGCTGTAATCACGGTAAACTTCACAGTCCTTCTCAAGGAGCATTCCTGGTGGGGAGGAGCTGAAACAATAGAAGACAGCATGAATGGGTGGGGTTGACCTTCCAGGCTCCTGCTTGCCAAGTTGCCTCCATCAATCAAGGAGATATTTCTTTTCTTGTTTTTTTTTTTAACCGGGGATAGAACTTGTGACCTTGCGCTTTCAAAGCAGGCAGCAGCACCATTGAGCTAAATCCCCAGCCCAAGGAGGTATTTCTTCTGCCCTGCACATACTACAGTGGCCCATCTAGAGGCCAAGGGTCAGTCAGGGACACCAGCTCTGTCCTGAATTTCAGGACTTCAGACCACTAGAACAGAAAGCCAATGATGGGGTGAGAACCACAGCTCCAGCTAGACAAAACAGGTTGGCCTGAGGAGGACAAACAGAATGATTCTCATGGGGACATTAACTGTCTAAGGGCCAGGGCTGGAAACACAACAAACCTCAGTAGATATCTGAGAAGGGAGTGGCTGAGAGTGCAATTGCTGCATGTGATTAGACTGACATCTACTTATTGTTAAAAAAGAATTCTCAGTACTCCAGAAGCACTTCAAATTCACTTAACCCAATCAAAAACACTCATACAAAACCTTCATAATAACTCATACAGGCCTTCATAATACTCAGGTTCAAAAGGCTGAAAGCAGACCCACTGTAGTCATCACAAGAATACTGACTCTCACTGCCAGTTTTGGAAGTGCTAGCCACTGCAGCAAAAACTAAAACAGTCAAATAAAAAGTGACTAGCAGTATGACAGGAGACTACTACTGCAGCCTTCACTATATAACTTGAGACATCAGTGGCTTTTTAAAAATTATTATTAACAGTAACTTGTTTAGAGACCAGAATCACAGCACTGAGGAGAGACTTTGGCAGGAGGACTCCAAGTTCAATGCCAGCCTGGGCTACGTAGTGAGACCTTATCTAAAAAAAAAAAAGTCATAGGCATAAGTTAATGAAGACTATATTGACTCAATTAAATAAAACTATAAAGCTTTACTGAAGTATATAAAAAAGACTTGAGCCAGGCATGGTGGTACACATTTGTAATCCTAGCACTCTGAGAGGCTAATGCAGATCACAAGTTGCAGCCCAACAAGGGGAACTTAGCAAGACCTTGTATCAAAAATAAAAGAGTGGGGCCGGGGATTTAGCTCAGTGGTTCCGCCCCCTGCCTTGCAAGTGCAAGGTCCTGAGTTCAATCCCTGGTACAAAAAAAAAAAAAAAGAAGGGGCCCAGGATTCAGCTCAGTGGTGCCACCGCCTGACTCGCAAGCACAAGGTCCCAAGTTCGATCCCCAGTACCAAAAAAAACCCACCAAAAATAAAAGAGGGCTGGGAATGTACGTCAGTGTAAAGGCCTTGGATTCAATCCCTAATACTTCAAAATAAATGAATGAATAAAAAATAAATAAAACATTACTTTGTGATGTGAAAATTACAAGAGATTTATTTCTTGGTATATAGCCATACTGATTTGCTTCTGTATTGTCTGGGGGTGTCACTGGGCCACACAGCAGACAGAACCAAGGAGCAGGAGACAGACCAGATGGTGTGTATCACTGCAAATGACAATGATACAGCAGTAGCTCACAGTGCTCATAATGTTCTGTTTTAATGATGAGAGAATATTCAAAATGTGAAGTAAAGGCAAGTACCCTGAATGTCATGCACCTAAGCACAGGGGATGTGGATTATTATACTGGGTTGGATGGGGAAAACACTGAGTTCATCATTCAGCCACTCTGGCAATGTGCTGAGAATGTGCAATGACATCACCACCTATGTGTTTCACAGTGCTTTCAACTTATACAACACTTTAAGTAATTTTAAATGAAAACAGAAACTCTGTAATGAATCTCATCACAGCACAATTGGCAAAAGTGGACATGATCTTTTGAATAAAGTAAGTTCTAAAGTTGTTCATTGATGGTGAATGATTACATTGTGCTGACGGAGGAGGCCTACACTGTATGACCAGGGACAACAAACTGGCCCGAGAGTGCTAGATGCTTAGTACAGATAGTTGTCTGGAGTGCTAGGGATAGCGAGAACCACAGAACAGTCATATAACTCAGTGGTTTTCCTTGGCTCCTGATGTGATGTTATGGACACTGCTCAGTCCCAACCCAGGTGCTGGTGCTAAGCTCCAAGTGGCTGAGGGGCTGGCCTCCACCAGCTGTTCATGAGGATGACTATGTAGAATGTTTCAAATAAGCCAAGAGAAAACTAGTTCTGTGCCACTGGAAGCAACCTGAAGTGGACACTGCTAAGATATGTCATCTTGATCATGCTGAGGGCACATATAAGTCAGATAAGGCTGAATAGGATCATTCACAAAGCTTGTGAAGATATAAGAATATGGTTATCTGTTGTTATTACTCATTGTCAGGTATTTTGGGGAATATATTTGAATCTACTGTAAGCTACATAAATAGCTCATGGACTTGTCTCTTGTCAGTTCTGTGAATTTTTTTTTGTCAGAAATAGGAGCTGAACATCCTGACTTACCATGCAACAATTGAACAACTGCAGAGTGGTGAAATTTCATTATTTTGAATTCAGAGCCACAAATGAAAATTTTTGAATGAGAAAAACCTTTCCATCATCACTATTAAATACTGAATGACTCTGAAAGTTAATTTTTATTGCAGACTTGATAATGTTTCTTAATGAATTCAACCTAAAATTACAAGGATAACAGTGCTTACATGCAAAAACACACTGCAAAATTCATTTCAAACCATAAGCAATGCCAAGCTCCTTCACCATTTCTTGCACTATTGAAATCAGAAGGCGAGTCCAGAGCTCATTCCACTCCAGAGCAAGAGATACATCTCCCAAGGTCAAAACACAGTGCTAGCAGAATTTTTCTGACCTTGATGTAAATGCAAGTATAAAGAAAATTTGTTTCAAACTTCACTTAACTGCACTTGAGGAGTGCCTTTGAAATCTTCAGTCAGATGCAATTAACCTGCAAAGTAAAGATACCCTAGAAGACAAGCATTGAGAAAGAATCTAATAGAATTTGATAAATGCCTTAAAGGAAAACAGTGAAGAGCCATAGCTAAGAACCTACCAGAATGCAATAAAGTGGAATTTTAAAATATTCAATCAACTCAGAAGAAGAGGTAAAAGGAACAAAGAACTCATGGTACAAATAAAAACTAAGTAGTGAGATGTTTAAATTCAACCATATAAATAATTACATTAACTGGTTTTGTTTGTTTCGTACCAGAGATTGAACTTGGGACCCTGTGCTTACAAGGCAGGCGGTGGAACTGAGCTAAATCCCTGGCCTTACATTAACTGTCAATGGTCTGTACCCCTAAATAAAAAGGCAGAGATGGTCAGACTAAATTTAAAAGCAGGACCCAAGCTGGGTGTAGTGGTGCATGCCTGTAATCCCAGCACTTAGGAGGCTGAGGCAGGAGGATCACTGTGAGTTCAAGACCAGCCTGGGCTACATAGCGAGTTCCAGCTCATTCTCAACTACATAGTGAGACCCTGTCTCAAAAAAACCAAAATAAAATAAAACAAAAAAGCAGGACCCAGGCCAGGTGGGATAATGCACACTTATAACCTTAGCTATTCTAGAGACTGAGGAGGATCTTGAGTTTGCACCTAGCCATCAAAATAAAAATAGGCATGCACAAGGTTCCTAGTTCAATTCCCACCACCAAAAATTTAAAAATCCAAAAAACAAAAGACAAAAGCTGGTGATTTTGCTCAGTGTGAAGGCTCTGAGTTCAATCCCCAGTTTAAAAAAAAAGCCTAGGAGGCCCTACATTTAAGTAGACTTCAGAGCTCAGAATGAGGGATGTTTTATGATGATGTATCAATTCATGGAACTAACAATCTGAATATTTAGGCACTGACTATACAGTTTCAGACACTTCTGAGTGTTCCCATTCACCTCAGAGAGATAAAAGTGTATCCACACAAAGAATTATACACAAATGTTTATACCAGTTTATTTGTTTGAGACAGGGTCTCACTATGTAGTTCAGGCTGGCCTTGAACTCATTATGTAGTTCAGGCTGGCCTCAAACTTGTGGTGGTGCTCCTGCCTCAGCCTCCAAAGTGCTAGGATTATAGGCATGCACCACCATGCCTGGCCATACCAATTTATTTGTAACAGACAAACCTGGAAACCAGCCAAATGCCCATCGAAAGAGCACAATGGAATTCTAGCAGTAGTGGAAAAAGAACTCATGATTGTGTGGTACCGGGTATCAAATTCAGGATCTTGTGTTTGCTAGGCATGTGCAGCACCGCTAAGCTACATCCCTGACAAGAATTCATGAGTTACATGTGGTAACATGGCAGAACAATTACATGGAGAAAAAGATGGTATACAAAAAGAGTATATAGCATTTGATCCCATTTAACATTCTAAAAAACACAAACTAATCTGTGTGACAGGCAGGTAGGATGGTCCCATGGGAACACAGGGCAGTGCAGAGGGAAAAGAAGGCAAGGAGACCTGGGTGATAGAAACATTGCTACTCTGACTGTGGTACTGCTCGCAGGTGCACACATACATGGAAATATATCAGAGCACGTGCTTTAAACTCATGTGGACAAGTGCCCACCTTCTGGTTTTTCACTGGTGATTACACTCAGAGGGAGCATCAGTGCAGGAGGAGTGCTTGAGAAGTGCTCGAGGAACACTGGCCAGCAGGAGTCTTATGATTCTTCGTCTTTCTACTACTTGAATCTTGTCTGTGAACATTTATATATTTTGTCATGTTTTGTTTTTAAGACAGGGTCTACTGTGTTGCCTAGCTAGCTTGAATTTCTGGGCCCAAGTGATCCTGTTGCCTCAGTCTCCCAAGTAGCTGGGATCACAGGTGCTTATCACCACCCCCAGCTCATTTATATCTTCATAAATGGGATAGGAACCAGTAAAACTACTTCTAAAATGAAAATTTTAAAAAATCACACCTGTGTCACACCAAAGTCCCTGAGCTTGGAAAACACAGTTTTTGAGGTAGCTGTTCTGTTCCTTTTGAGAAAGAGTGTCCTTTCCGCCTTGAGCTCTAGATCCAGGACCGGCTGGCCAGGGCGCCTAACACAATCATGTCTGCTGCTTTGTAGAGGGGATCTGGCCTGCAGGACAGAGGTCCACATTCTTTCCTGAGGAGCCTATAGGCCACACAGACTCTGCTAGTGCCAGGGGGTCATCCTGGGCATGGGGTATTCTCAGACTTCCAGGAAAGACATCCCTTGTTCTTGGGTAGCAAGAACCAATACAGTGAAAATGGCCATACTGCCAAAATTGTTATATAGATTTAATGCAATACTGATCAAAATACCAGTAACAGGGCTGGGGATTTAGCTCAGTGGCACCATGCCTGCCTCTCAAGTGGAAGGTCCTGAGTTTGATCCCTGGTAACGGAAAAAACAACAACAAAAACAAAAACATCTCACAACTAGAGAAAACAATCCTAAAATTCATTTGGAACCAGAAGAGACCTAAGATAGCAAAAGAAATTCTGGGCAACAAAGGCAAGACAGGGGCATCACAATCTCTGACTTGAAATTATACTATAAAGCTACTGTGATAAAACAGCATGGTACTTGTAAAACAACAACAAAACAAAACAAAACAAAACAAAAAAACAGACCCAAGGATCAATGGAACAGATTAGAAAATGTAGAAATAACTTCAAACATACTCAGCAACCTTATCTTTGACAAAAGAGCCAAATATCTTCACTGGAAGAAAGCCTTTTTAATAAATGGTGCTGCAAAAACTGGCTTTCTGCATGTCAAAGATTAAAACTAGACCCATATCTTTCAGCATGCACTAAAGTAAAATAGAAATGGACCAAAGATCTAAATATTAAAACAGAAACACTAAACCTGCGGGAAGATTTAGGTAGAACTCTTGAAGACACTGGTATAAGTAAAGACTTTATGAACAAAACCCTTATTAAACAGGAAATATCACAAAGAATCAACAACTGGGATCTCTTATTAAAAAGCCTTTGCACAGAAAAATAAACCACCAACAGAGTGAAGAGACAACCCACAGTATGGAAAAAACATTGTGCTAGCTGTTCCTCTGACAAAGGACTAATATCTAAAATATATAAAGAACCCCCCCACACCAGAACCCTCCAAATTAAAGACCAAGTCTTTGATTTGGGCATCTCAAATGAATAGACACTTCCCAAATGAAGAAATAGAAATGGCAAATACATGTATGAAAAAATGTTCAACATCCTTGGTCATTCAAGAGATGCAAATTAAAGCAAGGCTGAAATTCTATTTCACTCCAGAAAGAATGGCTGCTATCACAAAATTAACTAATAACAAATGCTGGTGGGGATATGGGGGAAAAAGGAACCCTTTTCCACAGTTGGTGGGAGTGTATACTTGTGCAACCACTGTGAAAGTCAGTGTGGAGATTCTTCAAAAAACTAAAACTAGAGGTTCATTTGACCCAGCTATTCCCCTTCTTGGTATCTTCCTGAAAGAATTAAAAGCATCATACCACAGCGATATATGCACACCCATGTTTATAGCAGCACAGTTTATAATAGCTAAATCTTGGAAACAGCCCAAATGCCCATCAACCGACAAATGGATAAAGATGTGTTTTTTTTTAATACAACAGAGTACTACTCTGACATAAAGAAGGATAAACTTGAGATGTTTCTAGCTAAATGGATGCATCTTGAGACCATACTCAAATGAAATAAATCAGACACACATGTCTAAATACCATATTGTCTGGTATGAGAAAATGAAAATAGAAATAAGGACCGAAATGTATAACAGATACTGGGAAATGGGAACAAAATGTTCAAATGAATGAAGGTGTCAGCATGTCTCAGGGCCCAAACTAGGTGCTGTGACATACTGGGGGTGGGCTTCTGTGGTCCATCTAGTCTGGTCCCCAAAGTCTTGCCAGCAACTAGAGATAATTATAGACCAACAACGACAGATCTTTAGAACATAGCAAAAACATAACAAAACCAATATGAAAAACTCAATGTCTGTATACCAGTGGCAACCAATAAATGATTCTTTTTTTTTTTTTTTGGTATTGAGGATTGAACTTGGGACCTTGCGCTTGCGAGGGAGATGGTAGCACCACTAAGCTAAATCCTTGGCTCAGGAAATATGATTCTTAAAAGACATAACTCAAAAAAATTAGAAAACTGATTACATATCTGTGTGCCAGGTAATTTTAATTGTCAATCTGACTGGATCAATAGACTCCTGCAGAGAAGTTGGTTCATTAGTCCACTGTACTCATCAGTGGACTAACCCACAGATGCCCCTAGGTGGGTATGCAGAGCTGCAGGTATTTCATGTTTTGGTTTTGCAATACTGGGGGCTGAACTCAAAACTTCTACAGTGAGCTATACCCCAGCCCTGAACTCTAGCTGGAGGAACTCATTGCAAGGGATCAGGTTCTGATCTACTCTGGGATCCCTCCGTGATATCTGCCTTGCTTTTCTGCACCAGAGTTATGGATCCAACTTGACCTGACTATAGCCACCTTGAAGTGTAACTGCTAAGACCAACTTACCCTGGGTAGTCCTGGTCAGTTTCATGCATAGTTTCCCAGCAAACTGTGCATACACAAACCCACCAGAGTAATGTGAGGAACTTTAAAGCTGGGTCCTGGCTTCCTTGGCTCCAAGAATGGGCCTGACATAACTGCCAATAGCCTGAGATAAACCAAGTACATTCAGGTTCCAAGTCACTTCTCTTCTGAGGAATACATATGCCCCTCTTTCTGACCCAAACCACAGTATCCACTGGTCTTGCTGATGCCCAGCACCATTGCTTCCCTCTGTAAGCACACAATAAATTGTACTCTGTGCAATTCCAAATCTGTCTGCCTCTCTTCCATTTCATGTGCCTTGGGGACTCAGGATACTTCAGTGGTCTGGTGTGACCATAGAACATTCCCAGGCCTGTAACAAGTCTTCTGCCACTGTGACCACTGCTGCATACTATGGACAGTTGTCCAACTTCATCTCACTTGCCCACCATCTGCTCCAATATTCTCCTCCACACCCCTCTCCAGGACTCAACCCACTATGGATTGGGCCCCTCTGCCATATCCTAACCTCTTCCCACTTCTGAAGGCAGGCGTTTTCTCAGCTCCCACTATTGATGCTCCATGTCTGCAGACAATCCCAAAGATTACCTCTAACCCAGCTTAGACCCTTCATGCCATGTCCAGCAGCCATACTGGCTAGTGCCTGACCTGTGCAGGGGTACATGGCCAGCTATCTATACTCTAGACTAAGCTGCCTGCCCTGACCCCATTGCACTGCACAGAATGGCTATTTCCAACCCTTGTAAAGGCCACACAGAGTGAATCCAGTGTGTGTGATGCTAGGATTAAGGGTGTGTGATTACTAAACCTCTACGAGTGATTGGTTTGGTACTTCCCTAATCCCAGTAGTCTAAATATGACAAATATGATAAAAAGGAGCAAAAAGACACTGTTAAAGTTTCTGTTGCTTTTGCTGTGTTCTGCTGCCATGAACTGTTGCTCTCTGCCACCCTGCCTTGGAGCCTGCTGATTATGGATTGAAACATCTAAAAACTGTAAGCCAAATGAACCTTTTCCCCTTTAACTTTGGGCGTCAGGTAGAGAAGAGTAACAACATAACCTTCATCCAAGAGTAGCAGTCTAGTACAGGTACAGACAGCACCTGCAACCTTATGGTCCTTACCGACCCTGCAGGTGATGCCTAGGACAGATTCTGCCAAGAGAAGGCAGCTTCACTGTCCCTCATGCTGTCTGTGAGCATCTGAGGCCACCTTTTCATTCCTCACACGTGGGTGGAACAAAACAAATACCAAAGGCACAACTCCGTCAGTCATAAAACCCTCACTGGAGAGGCCTCCCAACAGTGTGTCTGGGAAAGAACAATAGCTGACATCCCTTTTGCCCAGTCTCTCTCCCACTTCCAAAGAGCTCCTGGCCTTAGGAACCCAGCTAGCTAATGACACTGTTAACAGAGAGCAGGGACTGAGAAACAGTGGAGGAAGAGGTGGGCATGAACCAGCTGGGTCATACTGTCCCCACACCCACCAGAGGCCAGCAAGCAGCAAGAGAAGAATCTGGCAGAGAATGAAAAACCTTCATTATTTCTGGACATCTGCAAGGTACCAGAACACTTATGGGAGACAGGGGTTGTAGAAGGCAACTTCCTACATTCAGCCCTGTCCCCACCTACCCTCACCCCCACACTGCCCCCACCCAGCCCTGACCTTCCCTGCCCTGGTCGCCTTCAGTCCCAACCCCAGTCCTTCCTGGCCCAACCCTCCCCATCCTGCTCTCCAGCCTGGCCTCACCCCTCACCTGCCGCTCTCTTCCCTGGCGCTTCCCAGAGCCACCTGGCGCCCGACCCTGGCTGGCAGCTCTTGCACCCTCTCAGTAGCAGCATCGGGCTCAGGCTCCAATGAGGAGCCAGTGCTGCCTTCACGGCTGCCGCGTCCGGGGCTGCTGTCTGCTGAGGCTCGCGGGGATTCGGTATTCTGCTTCAGCGTCTGCAGCTTGGCCAGCGGGATGATATCGCAGTTCTGCGGGCGGTGCCACACGGTCCGCTGCGAGGCAGCGCTGTAGTAGTAGAAGCGTGATGTGTTGGGGTCGAAGAGCTCCCACCACTGATCCTCGCTGGTGCGCTTGATGCGCACGCCAGCTGGGGGGTCCCACACGCACTCGCCTGTGACCAGGTTGGCATACATGCGCTCTCGGGTGCGTGGCTCGATGATCTCCACCCATTCCAGCCTGGAGGATAGAATACTGCATTAGTGGGACCTGGCTGCAAAGGGCCTTGGTTTTCCTACCTCCACTTCTGACCCCTCCCTCAGGGCACACCCTCCAATTATGCAATACTTTTAAATTACAAAAACATTTGGAAAGCAACATAAACATCTTGACTGGGCCATCTGAATGTGGGCATGTGTGACCTCTGGTGTTCTCCTGTGACCATTCTTTTTTTTTTTTTTTTTTTCAGCTTTAATTGAGTTTATTGGTACATTTTAGGGATACAGTACAGTTGCATTCATAGTTGGGATCTTGTAACTCTACATGACAGGTCTTGTTCTCATTTTTTCCCCTTGTCCCTGCCCTCCCTTCACCTCCTCCTCTTCCCCTCCCCATCTACAACCATTTTATTTCCATCTTTTCATTATCTCACATTTTTTTCTTTTCCCTTATTACCCTTCCCCTACCCATCCCACCTTCCCTACACCTTTAGCCCCTTTCTTCCCATTTCTAAATGTCAGTGATCTTATTAGGATCTTATGTATTATTGCAGTTTATTCACACCAGAGAAACTATTTGGTATTTACACATCTGTGCCTTATTTATTTCACTTAGGAGTATATCTTCAATATGTATCCATTTTCCTATGAATGAATCTATTTTCTCATTCTTTATGGCTGAGTAATATTCCATTTTATAGAAAAACCACATCTTCTTTAACCAGTTTCCAACTGATGGGACTGATGGGCAAATGGGTTCTTTCCAAGTTTTAGCTATTACAAACTGTGCCACTATAAACATGGGTGTGCATACATCACTGTGATATGATTCTTTTAGTTCTTTTGGAAAGATACCCAGCAGAGGGATGGCTGGGTCAAATGGAACCTCCAGTCTAAGCTCTTTGAGGTATCTCCATATTGATTTCCACAGTGTTTGCACCAGTCTGCACTCCCAGAAAGGAGAAGCGTTCCTTTCTCCCCACAACCGTGCCAATATTTGTTATTGTGTGATTTCTTGATAGCAGCCATTTTTTGTGGGGTGAGGTGGAATCTCAGTGTTGTTTTCATCGGCATCTCTCGAATGACCAGTGATGTGGAGCATTTTTTCATATATTTACTTGCTGCTTTTACTTCTTTGTCAGAGAAATGTCTGTTCATTTCGGATGCCCATTTTTGAATTGGGTCTTTATATTTGGGGGGGCTGATTGTTTTGAGTCACAACAGATCCAATAGAAATCCAGAGGATCACTAATACCTACTTTGAAAATCTGTACTCCAATAAAATGGAAAACACAGAAGAAATGGACACATTTTTAGATACTTATGAATTACCAAAGTTGAACAAAGAAGATAAACACATTTTAAACACCCCAATTACAGTCAATGAAATTGAAAATGTAATTAAAAATTTACCAACAAAGAAAAGCCCAGGCCCCGATGGATTCACTGCTGAATTTTACAAGACATTTAGAGAAGTACTACTGCCATTACTCTTCAAATTTTTCAATGAAATTGAAAGGGAAGCTATACTTCCAAATTCATTCTTGGAAGCAAGTATCACTTTGATTCCCAAACCAGGGAAAGACACAACTAAAAAAGAGAACTACAGGCCAATCTCCTTAATGAATATAGATGCAAAAATCCTTAATAAGATACTAGCAAACAGAATACAGAGGATTATCAAGAAGATCATACATCCTGACCAAGTCAGATTTATTCCATGGATGCAAGGGTGGTTCAACATACGTAAGTCAATAAATGTAATACACTAAATTAACAAAGTCAAGGACAAAAACCATATGATCCTCTCAATAGATGCAGAAAAAGCATTTGACAAAATTCAACACCCATTCATGATAAAAACCCTGCAAAATATTGCAATGGATGGTCTATATCTCAACTTAATAAAGGCTATCTATGAAAAAATCAACAGCCAACATCATATTAAATGGCCTAAAACTGAAAACCTTCACGTTAAAATCAGGAACAAGACAAGGATGCCCACTATCATCACTCCTCTTTGATATAGTTCTGGAAACATTAGCCATAGCAATTAGACAAGAGAAAGAAATTAAAGCAATAAAGATAGGAAAGGAAGAAGTTAAACTGTCATTATTTGCTGATGATATGATACTCTACATTGAAGACCCAAAAAACTCCACCAAAAGACTTCTAGACTTAATTGACAGATTCAGTAGAGTAGTTGGATGCAAGGTGAACACCCAAAAATCAATAGTCTTCTTATACACAAATGACAGACTCACTGAGAGAGAAATAAGGGAAAAATTCCTTTTACAATAGCATCCAAAAAAAATGAAGTATTAGGAATCAATCTAACAAAAGAAGCAAAAGATCTCTACACTGAAAACTATAGCACTCTGAAAAAAGAGATCGAGGAGGATATTAAAAAATGGAAAGATATCCCCTGCTCCTGGGTAGGAAGACTCAACATAGTGAAAATGGCCATACTACCAAAACTGCTATACAGATTCAATGCAATGCCAATTGAAATTCCAACACTATATTTCACATAACTAGAAAGAAGAATCAAAAAATTCATTTGGAACCATAAGAGACCTAGAATAGCAAAAGCCATCCGAGACAACAGACACATGGCAGCGTTTATAACAATTCCCAATTTGAAACTATACTACAAAGCCACTGTGATAAAAACAGCATGGTACTGGCAAAGAAACAGG